CACACACACACACACACACACACACACACACTAAATAAATAAATGTTTAAAAAAAATTTAAAAAAAAGAGATTAAGGACAATAGACTAATTAATCTTTTAGAAGAAATTTCAAGGCACAATAATAGCGATATGGCTATTGTTGGGGGATTTTTAGGCAGATCTATGTTGAGAACCAAGATCAATGAGCCCAACAGAATGATTTAAAGTGTTTTCAGTTTGGCCAGAAAGGAAGTTCCAATAAAGCTTCAGACTGTAAGATAGAGCAGAAGAACTGTTGATTGTTGAAAAGAAACAGAATAGAAGAAGATGGCCTGAAGGCAACATAAGAAGCAGCCAAACTCCACCCTTTGCAGCCTCAAAATTGCAAAAGAGAAAGTCTCTGCTTTGAAAAGAAAGCCCCAGATCACCATCGTCCATGATGGTGGCACCCTAGAGAATTTGTTCCCTGGAATTTGATTCAGAGTGTGTCTCAGTTACCTTTTTCTCATTGCTGGGACAAAACACCCAACACCCAGGTATTAAGGAAGGAAAGATTTACTTAGCTCACAGTTTGTGGAGGTTTCAGTCCATACTCAGCTAGCATTATACTTGGCTGACACTAAGGCAGAGTAGCACATGATAGCAGCAGTTCATAGTAGCAGAAAACAGCAAAGATCAAAGGGAGAAGCAGCAGCAGCTGCCTCTCTCCTTTCTTTATATTATATGCAGGCTACCCTGGGGTGGTTGTGTAGAACTCATACAATGTGCATGTGCTCCTCTTGCACAAGATGAAGATGGTTAAAAGATAAGAACTGCTGAGTTAATTAATCTTCTCAGCTTCTCAAGCTGACACAATGTATCAACCACTACAGAGTTCCCAGCAACCCTGGTATACTCAGAATGCAAGAGTTGTGGAGTCAGGAAGGTTTACATCCCGACTTCAGAAGAAGGCTTGAGAGTCCAGGCAGTATGCCCAAGAGAGCAGTGTGTGAAGCTGGTGTCGCCAAAGGTGCAGTGGAGACCCCAGGACTTTGGAGAAGCCAGGACATGGACAGTCTGAGGAAAACTGCAAGGAGGGAGTAGAGCAGGCCCAAGAGAGAAGCCACAGACACTATAACACTGGAAAGGCTGTAGGGATAGAGCCACCCCAGCCCTTTGGAATTCACACCCTGCCACAGATTGCCTTAGATGCTGCACACAGCACTTTATGTTTCCTCTGCTGGATTCTGAACTTGTTTCAGTCCCACTACTTTGTATCCCTGTTTGTAACTTTTTGAGTGGAAATGACTATCTTGTGTCTCTGAGATGGAATTTTTTTTTTTTTTTTTAAACTGGGGATTGAACTCAGGCTCTTGCACTTGCCAGGGAAGCACTTATTCCATTGAGCCATCACCCCGGCCCCTTATCTTGTGTCTCTGAATGTTGGACATATTTAACTTTCTTTTCATTTGAACAAGGGCTTACAGCTACGAGTTTGCCTTAGATCTCAGAGGAGATTTAGACTTGTCAGCACTGCTGAAGCTGTTAAGACTTGGTCAAATCTTAGAGATGGACTAAATGTCTTTTGTGTAAAGGAATGTACAAGAGTCTTAGGGGAGCCAGGGACAGAATGTTACGGTTTGTGTACAGAGTTTGTGACTGATTCATGGTGCTAGGATTAAAGATATGAATACTACATCTGTCCTAGGGCAGGCAGCCTGCAGAAAATATAAGGGACAGAAAGAGTCTTCTCTCATTACTTTTGCTGTCTTCCGCTGCCATGAACCAATGTCCTCTGATATGAACCACTGACGCTGACTAGGAGTCACCTGATTATAGACTGAAACCTCTACAAACTGTAAGCTAAATAAACTGTTTCCCCTTTAACTTTGGATGCCAGGTATTCTGCCTCAGCAACCAGAAAACTAAGAGTCTTAAATATTTGTGTATCTTGTGTTGTATTTGTTACTCTAGTAAGCA